GGGACACCCCCCCCCCCAGTGCACCAATTTTTGTGCACCAGGCCTCTAGTCTATAAAGTGGTAATATGCAAATTAGCCAGGCATCACAACTGGCTCAGGAGGAGCTGCGCACGCAGATTGGTGGGAGGGGACTGCATGCCACCCCCAGCCCCAGCTGACACACATCAGGGGTGGGGGCAGTGGCTAGAGCAAAGCAGCCGGAGTCCTGGGTGCCTGGCGGCAGCTGGAGCAAAACAACCCGGGTCCCGGGTGCCAGAGGGAAGCTGGTGCCGGCAGCCAGGGGAAGGAAGGCCTGTTTTTGCATGTATCTTCATTCATTGGGCCTCTAGTAATAAATAATTCTTGAGGTTGGCTAGCTTTTATGGTTTAGTTTGCTTTACCATCAGGAAGTAAGAATGCTTTCCATTTTTTGACTATGTAGCTGATATTTGGAATCATAATCTATAGTAACATAATGCTAATTAGACTGGACGGCCAAACAGCAGAACGACCGTCTGGACAACCTTCCGGATGAAGCTGGGGTAGCCACGGGGACTGCAAGGGCCAAGCCCCTTGCACAGATTTTGTGCATCAGGCCTCTAGTTTTAGAGATAAGGAAATAATTAACTTATTTCCTTATCTTTACCACTCTAAATTTCAAACATCTTAAAGTTACCGCCTTTAAATTCTCTTTTGAGTGGCTCTTAATTTTAGTAGCATAGGAAGTTATAGAAGAGAACAGTTTGCTCGTTGATTTAATGTTATTCTTTCTGTGTTTTAAAGTAAAGCTTGATATTTTAAAAATATACTATATTTATTTGTCTTATTTTTTTCCTCAAGACATAATACAGTTTATGATATTCAGAATCTTCTGATATGGAAAGAACTTAGTTACTAATCAAATAGTGGTGCCTCCTCAGCTGTTTGTATTTAAGTTAGTTTGGTAGATTAAGTATGCTGCAAAACCTAAAACTACAGACTTATTTTCTCAATGTGCTTGTTTATTTTCTGGGAAATGAGAGAAAGGGCTATAAAACTTTTATGTATTTAGTAAGCACTCAGTAAGTGCTTTTACAATGAATAAATGAACTAGGGTTTTTTTGTGTGTTTTTTTAATGTCATTTTTATCCATTCTTAGGGTTTCCAGGAAAATCTGTTTCCTGTCTAAACTTTCATTGTAAACTCTGGCCATACTGTTATCTACCAATTTGATTGATTTTCCTCAATACAAAACAGAGCCAGGCCCATAAGACCTTCACTTTTTAGCCATAAATTCTTTTTAAGTCTTTATTACTTTAGTTATTTAAATAATGAGAAGGACTTAACTTCATGTGAATAGTTTTCTTTTTAGACATTATTTAAAATCTGATCTTTTGAAAGTTTCTTGAATATTTAATATCAAGAAGTCTTCTCATACTTACTGAAATCTTATAAAGAAAATGTTAATGATTGCTGTATGTTTTTTTAATTAGATAGACAAAATGGAAATTTAAAAACTCTATTAAATATTATTAATTTCAGTAGTATAATCCAAGATCTGCAAATGTCTTGAACTATAATTTTAGAAATAAGTTCTTGTCACTTATGCAAATAACAGGAAAATTTAATTAACTCCTCTTACCCCTTATATATAGGAGATAATTACAGTCAACATTCAGTTTGTTTTATATACACTTTACCTCCTGACTATTTAAGGTAATAGATTTGAATAATCTTCCTGCATTTCCTAATTAAACTTTTAATTTTTTGAAGTGCATTTTTTAAATCCTTACAAGTTTCCTTTACAGGTATTAACTTTAAAAGAGCCATTCATTCCCTTTGCTACTTAAGAGGTACATTTTCTTGAAGCATTAATAGCCTCTTTTCAAAATACATGACTCTATGAACTTGCAAAGCATAATAATGGTTTCATTGTTAGATACTGAATCTTTTATGCCTTATAATTAAGCAGTAATCCTGTTCCTTGAGAGTTTTCTTGTAAGAAGAATAGAAATATACTCTTCATTTGAAAGCAGCGAGGCATAGTTGACATTGGAATTCCAATAATGCCTGTAATGAAATGAGGAAAAGCGGGACTGGGTTTCCTATTAAAAGCAGAGAGCACATTAAATAAACCAAGTGTGATGGCTGATAGCTTTTGATACTGGGATGTCGTGATTCACTAAGGGTGCAGTTTTGAATCAAAGCTTGGTCAGATAGGTTATCTGCTCAAGTGCTGAGTACCATTAAGAATTATACTCATAACAAAACAAAGCATCACTTACATAATTAAATAAAACCAAGGGAGTTTTAGCTATACCTGTACAAATAAGGGTAGAATGGTGTTTGTCTAACAAGGCAGAAAATAAATGGTAACTCCAGAAAGAGAATAAAGCACAAAATGAAGTGCTTAGCTTAGTTGGACAGAGGCTATATACAGGGTTTGCAGTTGTGGGTATATGAAATACAGAGTTTATTCTTGTATTATGATTTATTAATCATTGTATTATGTTCCATATGAACAACTGTAAACCCACCTTTTCCCCACCCTGTATTTAGGTGAAGGCAGTAAAATCCTTAACAGAAGTTGATCATGGACTTTTCACCAAATTCTAGACAATTCAAAGATAGCCTATTCCCTTGAACCTTAAGAGATTAGGAGATGCCTCTGTTTTTATTTTGTTCATTAGGTTCAACATGTAGGTAAGGTCATGTGGTATTTGTCTTTCTCTGACTGGCTTATTTCATGTAGCATCATTATCTCCAGGTCCATCCATGCTGTCACAAAATAAAAACAGAGGCATGGATACATGAAACAGACTCACAGCTGTCAGAGAGGAGGGAGGGAACTGGATGAAAGAAGGCAAAGGGATTAGCCAAAGAATGTATATGCATAACCCATAGACACAGACTACAGAGTGGTGATGGCCAGAGGGAAGGAGGGGTGGGGCTAGGTGGAGGTGGGCAAAAGCGGGGAAGCAGATGTCATAGAGCCAACAATAAAAATAAAGTTAGAGATTAGGAGATGATGCTTTCCCAGGGAGTACTGCAATTACCAAATCTTATTCTAAAACTAGTTTTTTACCTTTTTGGAATCATGGACTTCATTTGGGAATTTGGTGAACTCGAGATTTTCCAAAAACTTGATTTCATTATGTTTAGAGACCTCTGGAGCCTATTTTAGAATTCTGAAATGTGTTTTTCAATTATGAGTAATACACAAAACTGTTTTAAAAAGAAATGAAACCCCCTGTGTTGACATACTACATTTTATAATCTTAAATATGTACCACATAAAACCTGGTATTAACTTCTTGTACATGTTCTTTTCCATAACTAAAAAACAGATTTATGAATTAAATCATGTTACAAACTTGCAAATTTAATCTAGCAACATTAATATGACAAAAGTAAATTGAAGTTGTCACTTGCAGTGTGACGATGGTACGGATAATATAGTGGAAGTTTGAGTTCAGAGTGTTGTTAATATAGCCCATGTGAATATTCTTATACCGCTTTTCTCTACTTGAACCTACTTCATAACCTCCATTGTCAAGATGCTGCCATGTAATTTCAAGGTAGAACTAATCCTGCTTCTATTAGTATCAGCCTGCAACAATTAAAGTTGCCTTGCTGTTGGATACTAACTCAATCACAAACACTGAAATAACACTAAAGTACTACTAGTAAGGTAGCATCCAGGGGATCCAGATTTGGCCTCTTTCGTTGTTATTATTTTTTAATCCTCACCCAAAAATATGTTTCTATTGATTGTAGGGAGAGAGATAAATATCATGTGAGAGAGAAACATCTGTGGGTTCCCTCACCGGGAATCGACCCAACAGCCTTTTAGTGTACAGGACAGTGCTTCATCCAAATGAGCTACCCGGCCATGGCAGCCTTTTTTGTTTTTATTATAGATCTTCATGGAAACGAAGGCAGGAAATTTTAAAACAAAACGACCCATTATAAGAACTTTCAGATTTCTAGAAGAAAATTTCTCACATCAACAATGTTATTGAAAGTTGTCTAAGCTGTAAATGTGAAATTGAGATGACTTTGGTTAAATAAATGCAAAATAGCTACATTGACTCTCCATTATCCCAGGTTTTAGAACTATAACAAAAATAAATGAAACAAGGTTTTTTATTATAAGACTCTTAATGGTTCTTTAACAGTTTAGTGTGGAGAAGAAAGATAAGTAAATAAATAATTTTAATATACACTTAGCTGAAATGTTTGAAAACAAATAGTAGCATCCCTCCCTTATACAACTTCTTGTAAATCACAAGATGTTTATGAATTCTGTGGTGAAGCATTCTCTAAAGTAGCGGTTGCCAACCGGTGGTCCACGGACTACTGGTGATCCGTGAGATCCGAAAGGTTGGTGACTGCTGCTGTAAAGTGAACGAACGATCTTATTCTTACATACCTGATCTGTGAGTTTAGATGACTGCTCCAGGCTTGTCTTCATGGGCAGTGCAGCTGTATTCAGCTCTTGGCTGACATGAACACTGTGCTTGGTTTCTTAGTCTGCAGGTAACGAGTGACACAGATTAGTTGGAAATGTTTCAGAGGAAGCTAACAGTATAATGTGAAATACAAGGGATTTTTTTGGCAGGGGATTGTGGCTTTGTCCTAGAAATACTTAAAAGAAATGGTCTTCTGCTATATGAAGGGTAGCTCGCTTAAATGTTAGCATGAGAAACTTGCTACAAGATACTTATTTATACTAACATCTTGAAGTTGTTCAGGCTTTGCTAACTGGATTATGGAGATCTAAAAGTAGGATTTAAATTTTTAATATTACTGTGGGATGATTTTAAGCATAATTTTAGTTGGATGAATGTGAGTTTAATGAACTAAGATATGCTCTGAAGGCTACTCCCAAGCCTGGGATTAGAGGGTCATCAATTTACTAGACTTTGTCATGAACTGATAGACTTTATGAAGAGAAATCACTTTACCAAATGTATGACATATCCACTTCCTAGTTCCTTAAGATAATTATGGAAACAAATGTGTTTCTTATCAACACCTAGGCAAACTCTTCCACATAGACTTTGGATATATCTTGGGTCGGGATCCGAAGCCTCTTCCTCCTCCAATGAAGCTGAATAAAGAGATGGTGGAAGGCATGGGGGGCACTCAGAGCGAGCAGTACCAGGAGTTCCGGAAGCAGTGCTACACAGCTTTCCTCCACCTGCGAAGGTAAGTGGGTTTGCTCCGCAGAGAGAATTTTGGTAAATTCATTTTATAGAGCAAGAAAAATAGAGTTATTCAAACATCTACTTCAGAAAGTTCCGTTTTCGGTTTCCACTTACTTGCCTCCTTTTTTGCCTTCTCTAGTAAGGCTGCCAGTCTTACTCGGCTGTTGAAACTAATTTCATCAAGATATGCAGGTCTGTCTATTGCCATTTTTGCTTCTAGCATCTTTGGTATAGCTGACCATGTCTCTGTTTCTAAAAACCTTTCTTATATTTGGTGTAGCCCTCTCTTCTGTTTTCTTTGTTCCTTACTGGTCACTTCTTCTTTGCTGGTTCCTGTCCTCTTGTGTCTACCTCTGCACAATGAATGTCTACAGTTTTCATTATCAGTCTGTGGGTTCTGATCTTTTTTCCCTTAACTCTCTCCATAAGCATTTAATCCAGACTTGTAACTTTAAATGGGATCCAAATGCTGATGACATCAAACTAATCCCATCAGCCCTGATAGCTCCTCTGAGATATACCTAACTGCCTACTTGGCATCTTTGCTGAGAATTTAGTAGGCATATCAAACTCAGTATGTCTAAAATGGAATTCTTGATTCCCTGCCCTAAATCCTGTTCTTCATTCATTATTATTTTGATGGGTAACCACGCATTCCCATTTCTTAGGCTAAATCCTCGGAGAGATTCAGTCCCTGTTCTCTCTCCCCACCTCCACGTGTGTGTCACCCACTACACCCCAGAATATAGCTCCATCACTCCATGTTGTTTCTCTTACCCTGGAGTCTGTGAAAGCTCCCCTGCCTCCATTGTTATTCCCCACAAGGTGGCCAATGGGAACTTTCAGAAATGCAAATCTGGGTGTGCTGTTCCACTCTTTAAACTCAGTGGCTTCTCAGTGCATTTAAAATAAAATCATACTTCCTTAAGGTGACTCCCCACCCCTCAATCTCTGACCATTTCCTGTTTTACTTTATTTTTTAAATCTTGTATCAGTCACCCAGGTATGATATTATTTTCTTAAACAGCTTATTGTATGAGCTCCCAACCTCTTCCAGAATGTGAGCTTCGTGAATGTAGGAGCCTGATTGTTCAGTTCACCACTATGTCCTTAGTGTCTAGAGCAGTGCATAGCGTGAGTGTTCGGTAAATATTTGTTGGTTGAATGAATAAAATTATTTGAGTAGAAGTAAAGTGACATCTGTGATATGCTTTTTATCAGTTCTCACAAGAAACCAGTAACTTCAAGCTACGTTAAAAATGTTTTGATATCATTATACTTTTTTTTTTTTTTCCCCAAAGAGAATCAGTGAGTTAGGGCCTAATTTGATGAGAGGATTATATCAAGGTAGAAATTTTCATTATAGTCCCTCTTGGCTTTCATGGGCAATATAAAATATTTATATTAGGTAATTTGAGGTTTATGTGTATAGTCATTTTTATCTTTAGTTCCATTATCATCACAGTTCCAGCAGTAAATGGTTTTTATGTCACAGGTTGAGCTTTTTCACACTATGGATAGGCAGATGGCTGAAATGAGGATTCTGCACCTCCTGCATCCTGGCCTCCATGCCCTAGAGAGGACAGTGCAGGGCACCTGTGTTGGCCCTTCTTCTGAAACCAAAGTTGTCTTACTCACACCCACCTCCAAAGTCTAACCTGAACCTCGTTTCATCACTAGAGTGCTGAGGGGCCACTGAGAGCATGGCTGTTCCAGGAGGGGGTCTGAGCAGGAGGTGGATTGTGCTTCTGTGCACCCATGTACTCCGTCCCCCCGCTCCACCTCTGGATGAGCATGTGGAGTAGTAGCACTCCTTCTCTTTGTGTGGAGTAAGGTGAAAGTTTGAGGACTGGTGAGGATAAACCTGTAGTTCCTGCTGGGGTCAGCATAATCCAAAGATGATGATATTTAAGTATCTTGCTCATTTTTAATACTGTAGAGCACTAGCTATTTTCTCCTTCATTTAGCATTGCTTCTATTCAGCCCAGTCACTGGTTTCTAGAGTGGTGATTCATGTCTCTGGAGGGTACTCCTGAATGATTAGTGGGATGGCAGTGTTTCCCTTTCATGCATTTTCCCCTGGCACTGAGGTGGTCTTAGAGTGGCAGGTCCTTGTCGTCATTTAGCAAAGGCAGATATTCATTGCTTAGCCAAATGCTAATTAGGTATAAAAGGGATTCTCTTAACACCTCATTAAAAAGAATGTAATCCCTGAAAACTGAAGAAAAAAAAGTGATTATTAGGTGATTACTCCAAAAGTTTGTTCCATAGTGTAGGACCTAGAAATGGTATTATATTCAGACCCCAGAGTAAGATATTTTTTCAAGGCTTGCTTTTCATTGAGACAGCTGGTGAATAGTCTCACATTCCATTTTCCTTCGGGGTAACAGTAATTGTTATAGAGATCCAGGTACCACTGTTTCTAGGGGTGTTGTTGATATGAGAAGAACTGCAAAATTCTAATAATTGTTATTTTTTCCCCAATCACCCTTAGGTATTCTAATCTAATTTTGAACTTATTTTCCTTGATGGTGGATGCAAACATTCCAGATATTGCTCTTGAACCAGATAAAACTGTGAAAAAGGTAATTTCTATACATCCTCGAACATCACAGTCTACTTCTCATATATGAAAGATTTAACAACCCATTTCCCCTTGTTTTTTCGGCCCCAGGATAGCTTTTTTAACTTGAATTACAAACTTTCTAAAGGGCACCAACAGTGTCAGAGATGAAATTTCTCTGGTTGTGGAAAATAGTAATTGGCATCAAAAACCCTGAGTTCTGACATAACTGGTACTTTCTTCCTCTCTTTCTAAAACCAATCAATCAATAAAAACATTTTTTAAAAGAGCATATAGCAAAAGCAGTAAACTTCCACACTCAAATGAGCAGTTTTCAGAACTCCTTATAAGTCATGAATTATTTCTTTGGCATAGAAATAACTCATACTGCAGTGTAATGTCTACATCCATTTAATTCTGTGTCTTTGAAATATGCCTGGTTCTCTTTGTTCAGAAGACTAACAGACTGTGGCCTTGTAGGTGCAGGATAAATTCCGCCTGGACCTGTCGGACGAGGAGGCGGTGCATTACATGCAGAGTCTGATTGACGAGAGTGTCCACGCCCTGTTTGCTGCAGTGGTGGAGCAGATTCACAAGTTTGCCCAGGTCAGTTCCCTGAGGGAAGCGTACTCCTCCAGCTTCTCCACCTACTGCCCAGAGTCCTCATGGAGCCACACTCCTCATGCCAGCTCCTGACTTTTCTGGGATGTTTTGGGGGGTGAAGCCTTTTTTGCTATCTCACCGGCCATCTGACGTGAACATGTTTCATGCACAGTTAACTCAAATATTCCACTTACATTTTCTTAGTGGAATGTCAACATGGGTGTCTTCGTCCTTTGTGATCAGTGATGATTATAAGCCCTTCTTGCAAATGACTTTGGGTTTAGTGGAGGCCATGCCAACTGAGACTTAACGCGTGTTAAGTTTTGATGCATGGTGAAGTTTTAGGGAAGGATTTTGAGGCTGAGAAAAGCAATGCATACCACACACTGAAAAGGTGTATCTGTAGACTTGCTATTAACAATATCTTTCATACAAATGTCTGATGAGGGAAAACCTCAGATTTAAAACCCATTTAAATTATAGATTTCATAATGATGATTAGGAAAATGGTTAGCAAACATAAAAATTGGGCCTCTTTCCTCTCCACTCTCACATGCCTCTCCTTGTGAACTCCTTCCTGACTTCTTAACACAGTTACTAATATTTCTAATTTCCTAAGGTCAAAGTCAGTCTGCTTGGACTTCCCCCTCACCCAGTGTCCACTGTGTCATCAAAGCCTATTCGGGTCTTTAATCATTTCTTTAATTTTCCTTTCCTGTAATTTCTGAGATGAAAGAGAGAGAGAGAGAGAGGGAGAGAGAAACATCAGTGATGAGAGAGTCATTGATTGGCTGCCTCCTGCACGCTCACCACCCCCCCAAGAGGGGATTGAGCCCACAACCAGGGCATGTTTCCTGACCAGGAATTAAACCATGACCTCCTGGTTCATAGGTCGACCCCCCAACTACCGAGACATGCTATTGAAGATTGTTTTTTAAAGGACTAGAATAAGCTAAGGGTTTGTTTTTTTCTGTAAAAAGTATGTGTTTATCTTTTTCTAAGCATCTTATAAATCTACTAGAGGCCCGGTGCACAAAAATTTATGCACTCAGGGGGGTCCCTCAGCCAGGCCTGTGCCCTCTCGCAGTCTGGGACCCCTTGGAGGATGTCCACCTGCTGGCTTAGGCCCGCTCCCCAGGGAATCGGGCCTAAGCTGGCAGTCAGACATCCCTCTGGGAGCCCAGGAGCCCTCAGGGAATGTCCACTTGCCAGCGGGGATCAGGCCTAAGCTGCAGTCGGACATCCTTAGCGCTGCTAAGGAGGCGGGAGAGGCTCCTGCCATCACTGCTGTGCTGGCAGCCGTCAGCCTGGCTTGTGGCTGAGCAGAGCTCCCCCTTGTGGGAGTGCACTGACCACCAGGGGGCAGCTCCTGCATTGAGCGTCTGCCCCCTGGTGGTCACTGTGTGTCACAGTGACCAGTCATTCCCAGTCATTCTGCTGTTAGGGTCAATTTGCATATTACCCTTTTATTATATGCCTGGTGCATGGGTGGGGGCTGGCTGATTTGCCCTGAAGGGTGTCCCAGATCAGGATGGGGGTCCCGCTGGGGTGCCTGGCCAGCCTGGGTGAGGGGCTGAGGGCCATTTTCAGGTTGGCCACACCCCCTTCAGGGAGGGGGGTCCTGCTGGGGTGCCTGACCAGCCTGGGTGAGGGGCGGAGGGCTGTTTGCAGGCTGGTCAAGCCCCCCAGCAGGGACCCTCACCCCATGAGGGTCTGGCCAGCCTGGGTGAGGGGCTGATGGCTGTTTGCAGGCTGGCCATGGCCCCCAGCCACCCAAGCTCCCAGTGGAGGCTGGCTGGAAGCAGGTATCTGGGATTTACTTATCTTCTATAATTGAAACTTTGTTGCCTTTAGTGGAGGCCACAGCTGGCCAGGGCAGGCGGGAAGCTTGGCTACCTCCATCGCCGGGGCAACCAAGCTTCCTGCTTGCTCCAGCTCTGTGGCTGCTGGCCGCCATCTTGGTTGGGTTAATTTGCATATAGTCTCTCTGATTGGCTGGTGGGCGTAGCGAAGTTATGGTCAATTTGCATGTTTCTCTTTTATTAGATTAGACAACTATTGTTTATTTTTCTTTGTGAACATTGAAGCTAATTATGTTCTCTTTGTTTCTTTATGTTGTTAATTTTTATAGTACTGGAGAAAATGAAACTGGGTTTGGTGTCCCCCAAGAAGCAACCTGTGTATAATGAAGACTTCAGAGTAACAAGCAAGCAAGAATGTTTAATCTTCCAGATACCATATATCCTAAATGTTACATGGTGTCTGAATCCCTTGAATGTCAGTGCTTATATATGTTCTTGAAGGGTTTTGTTTTAAAATATTGTATAATTTATTTTCAAATATACGCATTATTAATAACCTAGGTTGTGAGAAGCTAATTCTAGGCTCATGTACATATGAGAGTTTGGGAGAAATTTTATGCTTTGGAACTAGAGGCCTGGTGCATGACATTCGTGCACTGGATGGGGCGGAGGTCCCTCAGCCCAGCCTGCGCCCTCTCACAGTCCAGGACCCCTTGCTTCTTACTGCCCACCTGCAGCCAGCAGAGGCGGGAGAGGCTTCTGCCACCGCCGCTGCGCTCACCAGCCATGAGCCAGCTGAGCGGCACTCCTCCTGTGGGAGTGCACTGACCACCAGGGGACAGCTCCTGCATTGAGCGTCTGCCCCCTTGTGGTCAGTACACATCATAGTGACCAGTCATTCTGCCTTTTGGTCTATTTGCATATTAGCCTTTTATATAGGACTAGTGGCCCGGTGCATGAAATTCATGCACATTGAAAAGGAATTAGAGGAAATATTTTACTATTGCTATTTGCCCTTTGTCTATAATAGAAGTGTCAGAGATGAAAGAAAATTAGTAAAATGTATATGAAAATAATATATAAATTTATAAACAAACAGTAACAAAAACAAAGACATGATATACAAACAACAAAAACATGATATGAAAACAACAAAAACGGGCCCGGTAGGAAGGGCCTCCCTCTGCTCTGCGATTGATCCCAGAGTCCCGGCAGGGTGGGCAGGGCCTCCCTGTGGGTGGGGATCAATGGTGGAGCCCAGGCCTGGTGGGAATGGCCTTCTTCTCCTCCGCAACTGATCCCAGAGTCCCAGCAGGGTGGGCAGGGCCTCCCTCTGTGCTGGCTGCCATCAATCGCAAAGCCCCGGCAGGGTGAGCAGGGCCTCTCTCTGTGGGGCATCGATCTGGGGTCCCTGTGATCCATCACCCCACAGAGGGAGGCCCTTCTCACCTGGCCTGGGCTCCGGCATTGATCCCTGCCCACAGGGAGGCCCTGCCCACCCTTCTGGGGCTCTGGGATCAATCACAGAGCAGAGGGAGGCCCTTACCACCAGGCCGGGTCTCTGCCATTAATCGCTGCCCACAGGGAGGCCCTGCCTGCCCTGCCCACCCTGCAAGGGCTCTGTGATCAATGCTGCACCAAGGGAGGCCCTGCCCACTTGGCCGGGGCTCTGTGATGGGCCCTCCCAGCCGTGGCGGTCTGCCTCGGCCCTCGCATCTGTGGCTTTGTCCGAAAGGACGTCCAGAAGACATCTGGTCTAATTAGCATATTACCTTTTTATTAGTATAGATAGTAAAACACTATAGTCTTTGAGTTTGAAATATCCTTTTTTTCCATTATCACATCAGGAGAGCAGTTATATGAATTTGGATTAATGTCTCAGTTTAGAAGTTTTTTTGTTTTGTTTATCTCTCCCTTCCCTTCTGTCCACAGTATTTGTTTTCACCTAATTTACAATACTTAAAGATTTACATGTTATAGCTCATTCTTTTACAGTTCATTTTAAATAAGACATTCATTTCCTCTTATAAATACTGGTTTTGGGTTGTTGTTGTTTTTTAAACTATAGTTCCCAGTTCTCCTAGGTTGTAAATACTGAAAGTCGGATATGAAAATGCAGCCAAAGAGTAACCTGCAGCAGCCTTCAGTATGGAGCCCAAGGTATTTTTACATATACGTTTAAGCATAAACTGTCTTTCTGAAGTCAATCTTTTTTGAATCAGCTTAGTTTTTAAATGACTTTTGAAATAGTTCCCCTGGAACTGTTAATATATCTTCTCTGATTTTAACCAAGTGATTTTTTTGTCTTTTAAGACTAGAAGTCCCACTAATCCATCTAGCTTTTTTGCCTCATGCAACTTTGAGAAAAAGGAATAAACAAAAACTGAGAAGAGCAATGCAATAATAATCCTTGCAAATTAACACGTTGCATAGTCTTGTGACTTTGTTTTGAAAGGAAAAGAATAGTTGATTCTCTCGGTGCTAAATAAATATTAAATATCAAGTGACAGAGGAGATTAAGAAGGTTTACTTAAGTCACCATTTCAGAGAATGCCATTAATTATAATGTTTATTTGTCCCTAAATTCTCATCTGTGAGTTTGTCTCTAGAGTGGAGTTACCACCTAGAAAGGAAGCATGTAATTAGGAGACATTCTAGAGGCACTTGGACTGTGATTTCTTTAAAGTACACATGCAGATTAGAGAATTGGTAAAGATGAAAAGTCCTTGGCATAGCTTCATATGAGAGTTTATGCCCAAACTAATAGGCAAGCTCCATTCTCTCCCTTGCTTTTTCCTTGCTTTACATATTTAAATCATTTTTGTTGCCTACAAGCTTTTAACTTATCTCTGTTCTTGTTTTAGTTCTAGTTCATTGGCATCTTCTCCAAAGTTTTCTCAAAACAACCCTGTTGAAAGTGACCTCTCCAACCTTCTGAATTCTTGTAATTCTTTAATTATGGATTTTTAATTGGCACTTAATAAAGTGGGGTGTTTTTGTTACATTTGCATCTCCTGTAGAGGAAATAAGTGAGGGGACAGAGGAAAGGATGTTGGGTAGGGATGATTTTTTTTTTTAACATACACAATAATAGAGCCATAAGATGATGGTAATGAGTCAAAAGAAGGAAGATTAATACTGCAAAGGGGTCTGTAACTAAAGGAATGAAACCTCCCAGGTGAGAAGGCATACCATTTCTGAGACAATCAGAGAATTTTGTTTTTGATGGGAAGATGAGTTCTGGATCACCATGCATCCACCTTCTCTCCTGTAGACCTTTCCCTTACTGCCTGGCTAATACCGTTTCTGACCCTTCTGCCAGGGAGACAAGGAGGGAGGAGAGTAAGGGGCCTAGAAAGTCATTACCTGAAAAGCACTGCCCTGACATAGCTGTGATGTTCTGGTCCACTAAGTGTTTGAGGCTGTTTCTGGAGCATGCATAGTTGGGTGGACTTCTAGAGGCTCCCGTAGGGACTACCAGTGGCCAGTGACTTTCTCTGGTCAGCGGCCTTGCCCTCAGTCTTCTCTTTGGCAGTTTGTTTCAAAAGCACTTTGTTTGCTGGAACCCTCCATCATCCCTGGCAGTTTTCTTACGTGGAATTTTACATAGTTCTAGCCCAGCTCTCTCTCTTGTGTTGGCCACCTCTAGTACATGAAAAATTCTTAAGCATTTTTTTGCCTCACCAAAGCAGTGACTCGTCTTACTCTTCCTCCAAAGTCATGCACTGACCTCTTGTCCTCCGAGTTTCCTAGACTGGAGCGAGACACCAGTCCCCCTGAGCACTCTCCTTATGCAAGGACCCTGAGAGGCTTTACTTGTTGTCTCATCCCCTTAAAACTTAGTTCCAGGCCTGGATTAGGAGAAGCCAGACCACAGGAGAAGCTCACTGAGAAACACAGCGGGGCTCAGAATCTCTTCATCCCTCCAATCCTGAGTAAATGTCCTTGAACTAAGGACATTTCTTCTCTCCCCTTTTCCTTTGACTGTGGTTCCCCTGAGTAAGCCACTCTAGAGACCCACTAGACTCGTAAAATGAGGATAATAATAGCCCCTACCTCATAGTGTCGTGTGAAGGTTAAATGAGTTAATGCACGTAGAGCACTTACAACAGATCCTGGCACGTAGTAATTGCCATGTAAGTATCAGCTATTATCGTAATTACTGTGCCACTCAGATGAACCCTCTGGTTCAGTGGGCTTGAGGTAGAGGGGTGGAGGTGGAGGTGGGAGGAACAAAGAACATCAGTCTTGAACAGGAGACTTGGGACTGTAGTGGGCGACTTAAGTACTTTAGCTTTATTAACTGGCCAGGAAGTCGCTAATTCAAAACAGCATTATTGAAATTTCTTTGAGCGAGGCTTCATGAAGATGAAATGTTGAATTGTCAGAGTGGAATATTCAAATTATACGTTCTCTGGATTTAAAGAAGCATTGAAGCCTGGTTCAATATATACAGTAATTAATCTTCCATTCAGTGAACTCGGAAAAATTTTTAAATCTTGGTTAATGCTTCGAACAGTGTCTAAGTGACTTGACTGAAGCCCAATAGGAATGAACATGCCAACCCATTAGCCCAGGGCAGTCAGTGTCTGCCTGTCAGCAGTTGAATTTGCCCAGGTCAGGCACTGAATTGCTATTGTGTGGTGTCTTAGGCTACTGAAAGGTGCAGAGTGTGCATACCCAGCCCAGGTAATGCCTGGCAGTGAGGCCTCAACCCGTGGCACTAAATGTCGGACTCACCTGCATACGTTCGCCCATTCAGCAAAAGTCCTACCGTGTTTTAGGGTTCCCATCTTTTCCAACTTTATAAAATGAGCACATTCTTGACAATCTCATAAAAGACCCCTCCAACCTAAACAAAGAAGCCCTGTGTTCAGTGTTTACCTGGTTTGCGTGTTCTTTCTACTCATTTCATGCCTGGGTTTCCCTCGGCTCCTGCTGGCTTCCTGTCCCAGAGCCTCACAGGCCAGTTCCTCCTTTACATGCTCCTCCAGACCCTGCTGGCTGGGCCTCCTCTCTCCCAATGGCTGCATGGAAAACACGGATGTTCTGCACATTTTCATTTAGCCTCATCGATTCCATCGATGTCTTGTCAGATATGCTGGAGCCCAAGGCTTCATCAGCCACACAAGTCATCAGAGATGGGCCCTCTGGTCTTTTGACTCTGATTATTCTTTATTTTTATTCTGATTCAAGGCATGGAATTATGTGGGGGAGGAGAGAAGGAAGGAGACAGGAGGGAGCTAGAGGTCAGTGCTCAGAAAAACAAAAGAACAAAAGAACTGCAAATTGGGACCTCTCTCCATAGGCTCCTTCCTTTCAGAAAGTCAGTGCAAAACCATCATCTCCCAGGGACTTCTAGCTCAGGGCTGGCCTGTCCAAGGGAGACCTGCCCGGGCAGTCGCTTGTCAGATCAATCCTAGGGCCACCTTTGTGCAGACATTCTGCCTTCTCTATCTGGGCCCTCCCACTGCCTTCAGGGGTTTTACATCTCATTTATTAGGGAGATAAAAAGGAATGGTGGATGGAGCCCTTGGGGAAAGCAGGAGGTCGCCCTGGGCTGCTGCTTCAGGGGTGGACTCTTGCTTGGCAAATGTTTAACCAGGTTTTTGTTGTTATTTTAAACTAGAGGCCCAGTACACAAAATTTGTGCACAGATGCGGTCTTTAGGCCTGGCCAGTGATCAAACCACAAGCATCTGGCATGGAAGGGCAGGTCCCAGCTGACCTCTGGCCCCTGGGCTGCACCTGGGCCTACAGGCCCTCACACGCCCCCCTCGCCTGAGTCACGGCACTCAAGTCTTCACGTGGAGATGCAGTGAGTGCAGTTGGACACTGCGGGCCGGGTTGCAGTGTGGGCCTCTGAGCCACCCAGTGGCACCGCATATGGAAGCTGGGCAGGCAGTGCGCTCACAAACCCACGGAGCCCCAACTGGCCCCTGCGATCCCAGTGGCTGCAGCCTGGCTCACCCAGAAGAGGATGCACGAGTGCAGGGTGGGCTCCTCACTGTGGCTTCCCCAGCGTGAGCCCTGGTGTCCCAGGGGAGGGTAGCAGGGGGAGTGAGAGCGAGCTCCGTGGACACCCTGCATTTTCACTGCACCTCCATCCCCGTCACCCCACCCCCAGGTAGCCCGCTGTCCAGGTGCTGTGGGAGGTTGGTCACTGCCACCCACCCCCAGTTCCTCGTCCCAGCCCAGGGCCCGGCCCCGATCGGGCGATCAGGGCCTACTGGCTGCTGGTTGCTGTCTGTGGGGTGATGGATCTGGTCCAGGCCCCCACCCGGTTCCCTCAGCGCCTAGGAGCTGGGGACAGCCCCACCCCTCACCACTACTGCTGGTCGCCATCTGTGGGATGATTGGCAGGACAATTAGTCCCCCACTCGCACCTGCCTTGGCCTGGTGCCACCCACTCACCTGCTCCACCATCCCGCCATGGTCCTGCTCTCATTGGGGCCCATCAGAGCCAGCAATGCCTCCACTGCTGCCCGCTGATGCTGACATGTCCCGCTCCACCCCCTGTTGGTCAGCGCACATCATAGCAAGCAGTCGAACTCCCAGTTGAGGGGACAATTTGCATATTAGGCTTTTGTTATATAGAATTTTGTTTGCATTTTTTTGCAACACATCTAGAATACTTTCTGATAAATCTGGTAATCTATTGGTTTTTAAAATTCAAATATTGGAGGTTCCTTCAATATTGGAGTCTGAAGGTGGGTGGGGGTTGGGGAGTCTATGAATAATAGATGCAATTTGTAACCATCTATGGAGCTGAAAATAAAGTAGATTGAGTGCGTGTGTGTAAAAACTCTGTATCTTCATCCTGTACTTAGAATTTAGTTTTAGCTGAAGGTTGGTGCCTTTATCTGACCTGTCAACATTATAGATGATACTGTAATATTTATAAACATATTTGCATATCTTTTATCAGATGGGTGCTCTTAGTTGATTTGGTGTTCCAGCTTCTATTTGGAAAATAAATCAATATTTGAAATGAAGATGAAAAGCTCAGGGGGTATTTTTCATGCCAGTCCTAGGTTTTGCTTGCACTTGAGATGTGCGACCTTTTGGGGTCAATGCTGGGTATAAGTAGTTAGTGAAATAGGAGCGCGCGCGCTCTCTCTCTCTCTCTCTCTCTCTCTCACTTTCTCTCTCGTTACCTCCAGGTTACAGGACTAAACTGTATCCTAATCCTCTGTGCTCTGCTGTCATCTGGTTATCATGTAAAATGCACCTTCCCCTATTGAGTTTTAAATGGACATTTTTAAAAACTTAAGAATCTAAGATTTAAAGAAACGGAGTTCCTTAAAGAATTTCTACAATAAAAGCAAACCTGGCTGAAAAAGTGCTTTTGTGTATATTACCTCATTTTGATTTTTCATTCTAAACTACAAAAGCCCTATTTGATCAGAAGGACCGGTTTTATTATGTATATTTCACAGGTGATAAAAGTGATATTCAGTGAGGCAAGGGATTTAAAGCCACAGTAAGCCTCAGTCCTCAGATTAAGGGTTCATTTATCTCACTTGAATGTCTTTCTCCCCTGATAACAGCACTGTCTTCTCTAATGACGGAGTTTTGGGCAGAGGATAGAAGAAGAGGGAGAGAGAATTTTGGTGGTGAAGCACTCAGACCCTTGTGGATGACCTCTGCTATACCTCTTCTTGAGGAATAATGTAGAGTAGAACCCACTCGTAGCCAAGAAAATTCAGTTCCAACCCAGCTCTGCAGCACGCTGGCTGTGTCATCTTTGTAGGTATTCAACCCAGTTTCACAATCTGTAGAATGGAAAAGGACTGAAGAATTTTAAGACTCTCAGAGATGCACATAATGTTCCTGGCTTATAGTGAATAACCAACACTTTATATTGCTGATTATCAACACCTCACACTTGCTTTCTCCGTCCTGGGGGCAAGAAAGGCTCAAATAAGAGGACAGTTCTGGCTATACATACATACAAGTATTTACACGCGAGTTGGTTTGGGGTTAAAAAAAGAAAACTGGTCTAATTTAGATAAGCAAAGATTTTTCTATTATGAAATAGCTAATTGATACCTTCCAGTTCTAAGTGGAGATAGAGTCTCACTTCATTGAGTTCTCACCTTGGCTGCCTAATAACGTCCATCCAGAGGACGCATTTTGGGGATTAGAAAACAAACTCAAAGCTGTACTGGAGGAATTAATGGGCCAGACTTCTCAGACCCCAGTGGGCTTGAGGCTCTTGCATTATCTTCAGAAAGTGAATTTTTTACGACTGGCAAGGGAGGATGGAATGTGGAAGAAGGCTTTATTTGCTGAAGTTACACTTCTTGGGTTCCAAAGTCCCCTGCCCATTATACCAGTCCTGGAAAAGGGGCAGCTGGGAGTTCAGCAATGTCAGAAATAAGGCCCATGTCCAGTCTCCATGTGCTAGGTGGGTGTGGTTCAGCTTTCAGGCCAGATTAAAGTCCCATCAGTCTGCGTGTGAAGCCCATGAGGCCACGCGCCTTGTGGGCACAGGAGAGCACAGCCCCTTGCTGCAGGGGTCACAAGAGCCAGGCATCCTGGAGCCAAGATAGGGAGGGACTTACTTTTGTGGAAGCTTTTTGGCAAAGCTGTGTAAATGGCATGCCTATATTATTTGGGCTTTCACTCCTTTCCTGTTACTTAAAAAGGTTATCACAATGGTGTCAGAAGCATTGATGTCTGGGAATTTTTTCCTTGCAGGCTAACAAGTTGGTCAGCCAGCTTGTCATTGTTCAAGTATTTGTTATTGAGGACTGACTATGTACCAGGGTCTGCTGATGCTTTTCATGAGTTAGCTAGTTAATTCCATGCTACAGTGAAGTGTGAGGGCCACCGAACCAGGTCACATGGGCAGTTAGTGGCAGGGGTTGTACTGAAAGGTCTTCAGGTTCTTTATAACCTCACTAAAAAAAGAAAAGTGTATCTCGGATGTGGTTCTTCCTCATATACTCGGAGAGGGGAGGATTGGGTGTCCATGGAACTTGCAACTGAGAAGCAGGGACAGAAAAAAGGGGGGGGGGGAATCCCCTGCACACTTTATAGTCACCATTTAAGTCACTATTTATACAAAGGGCGCTTAGGGAAAGCTATAAAATAATTAATAGCGCAAGGGAGGGACATTTCTATTTCAATTGTCTGCATTTAAGAAACACTTTGCATATCTGTTCAAAGTTTTAGATCATGGTCTTGAATATGAATGAGAGTGAGAAACAGAAGAACCCAGAGGCTAGGAAAAGCAATTAGTGGGCCTCAGACAGGGCACCTCAATCCCTGTAGAGTCCTGGGCAGGACCTTGTTACCAAGCCAGGGAGAAGCCCAACTCTGCTTTTGTCTGTTTTTTCACTGAGGATGGCGTCCCCTCCATGGACCCCTCTGAGTTTTACCAGTGATGGCATCAGAGCTGGGCCCATAATTTTCCTTTGTAATTGGTTTATGTGGGCCACAGACCATAGAAAGGTCCTGGGCAGTCACTTCATACATTTTCAGAAGCACTAAATAGGTTAACGTATGCCACAGTTCTAGCAGGAGAGAAAACCAATAGTTTTCAGCCAAACTTATCTAAGTTCACAGGACCTTGAGGATTCTGCTTTCTGTTAGCATCAAAGCAAAAACTAACTTTCATCTTTCCAGCAAAACTATGAACTAATAATAAAGACCCCGAGGCTCTGCATTACTTCATATATATATACTTTTTCTTTTTTTTTTTTTTTTTTTACTCAGGAGCTGAGAAGGTACCAGCACTGTAACCCCCAATTTTATGCAGGAGACTGCTGATGCTTGAGTTAAGTGACTTCTCTGAAGCCAGCCAGCTAATGCTAGTAACACTGAAACCAGAAACAAAGTGCTGCCACTAGATGGCGCTGCCCACTAAGCTAGAGGCCTGGGGCCCTGCCCACTGTCAACAGAGCTGGTTTTCTAGTTTAGAAGCCTGAAAGTTTCCCCTCTAAATCACTAAAAGAAGAAAGACTCATTGTATGGCCTCAAGCAGTGGTTGGCAAACTCATTAGTCAACAGAGCCAAATATCAACAGTACAATGATTGAAATTTCTTTTGAGAGCCAAATTTTTTAAACTTAAACTATATAGGTAGGTACATTGTTATTCATCCTCTCCCTCCTCCTCTCCCTCCTGCTCCGAAAACTGCTCTCTCGCTCTCTCGAGGCCGTACCAAAAGGAGGAATAAAGAAATCTACTTCTCTACTTGGAATCAGAGAAGTCCAAGTAAAACCCCTCAGGCTTGACATAGTGTACAAGTTGGGGAATTATGATGTGTTCCAACCATAAAGTGAAAGAAAGGATGGAGATGAGGTTTGAGCAGGGGTCCCAGGCTGTCCTCACATGGAAGTCATTACAAAGCCTCTCTTTCCCACACTCCCTCTGCACTCTTTCTCCCTTTCACCAGGTTCACCTATGTGCTTTAAAATAACCCCTCAATTGAAAATTGAAAACAATTCAGGCCTTAGTCAGGATTTTCACCTTTATCCTGAGAACAATAGGAAACCATTTGGCAGACTTATTTAAATGAGTGGTCAGAGCAGGTTTTCTTTTTAAATTTATTCTCGTTGCTGCATTGAGAATGGTCTGAGAAGGAATGGACAGGAAAGATTTGGACAGAGCAATCAGGTGGTGATAGGTAAGAGAGATCATGGTGAACTGAAGTAGTGGTAGCAATAAGATAGGAGTATTGGACAGGTGTGGAAAGTATTTCTAAGGCAGAATTGATAGGTCTTGCTGATGGGTTGAATGATCTTTTACCCTCTCTGCATCCACCCCCTTGGGCATTTAACTTTGAAGTGTCCTCTGCCTCTGTCTCTGGACTTGACCATGTGCCTGGCTTTGGGTAATAGAATGAAGTAGAAGTGCAAGTGTGGTGCTTCTAAGTCTACAACTCGAGAGGCCTTGCTCTTTCTTGTGTTTCTGTCATCTCCATGAGGACATTCCTGAGGTAGCCTGCTGGCATGGAACATATACATTGCAGAGACTTGAAGTGCCCAGTCAGCCCAGTGAACACTCGTCTAGAATCTTCAGTGGTCGGCAAACTCATTAGTCAACAGAGCCAAATATCAACAGTACAACGATTGAAATTTCTTTTGAGAGCCAGATTTTTTAAACTTAAACTATATAGGTAGGTACATTGTTATTAACTTAATTAGGGTACTCCTAAGGCTTAGGAAGAGCCAAACTCAAGGGGCCAAAGAGCCACATGTGGCTCACGAGCCACAGTTTGCCAACCACGAGTCTTTTTAACTTCTCTCTGCTCAACCATAATTTAGCGTCGTTAGGATCATGGTGCAAATCTTAAGACACATGTTAGAGGCAACATTTTATAAAGTAAATTTCTGGAGATTGGACTTTTTGTAAAACGTTGATTTACATGATTCAAAATAGAGATAGGTATTAAGAAAGAACTTTGATATCCTAGACAAAATACGGGCTTACAAAAACGAGATTTTCTCATTTTCAGTTGTTTTGAGAGTGTTCATAGTTGTTAAATGAGGACATTTTATTATGCCTGCTTTAAAATCCATGTCAGATAATTCCAAAGTTTGAGTCATCTCACTGTTGGTACCTGTTGATTGTCTTTTATCATTCAGTTTGTGTTTGTCCTGGTCCTTGGTATGAAGAGTGGTTTTCACTTGTATTCTTGACATGTTTGATATTATGTTGTGAGACTTGGTTAACTTAATAATTGTATTTACATTCTTATGATTATAATATACTCTGATTGTTCCCTTTCTCACTTTTTACCTTGTTACATGATGAAGTTAACAATTACCTTGACTTTAAATAGCCGGGCTTTGTTTTCTCTGTACAGAATTGTTTCCCTCTCGTTCCAGTTGCCTCCAGCACAATTTTCCATGAGTATAATAGTGACAGCACTGAGCAAGCTTGTCTGGAATGGAGGTTGGAATAGGTACATAAAAATGTTGGGGACCTTGCGTATTTGAAAAGCCTTTTTTAGAACTTAGTGTTTAAAATAACCAAAGTTTTTTTCACAGCAACTTTGCCTAAGTTTTAATGGGAATGTTCAGATTTGGGGTCAAATTGTGGGCTGGTATAAGTAGGCACATCGATACCAGTAAA